TTCCAGATAGGCTGTCACAATAGTCAGAAAACAAAGACCGAACTGGACACTRAAGTGCAATGGTATTTTCTTCCAGCCGCCCTTATCTCGATTGCCATTATAACCCATCACCTGCAGCTCCCTGGCGTGTCCAGGTAACTTTCATCTGGCGTCAAGGGAAGCTGTAAAACAAGTTGCTGCCTAATTTGCACAGCCCAGGTGTCTGCACTCTGCTGATCCCCAAAACGCCCGGCTGCCTTCAGCTGACGGGCTCCATCCCTGCGCAGATGGCGGTAACGATACTCCGTTTAATCATCTTGCTGCCAAGTGAGCTAAGGTCTCACCAGATTCTTGTCTAAGGAACAAAACCAGAACGTGATAAGAGATGGTTAAGAAAACAGAGGCACTAAAGAGGGAAATGCAGAAGCCGCTCAAGGCTTCTCAGCGGCCCGGGGAGGTTTAAATTTTGCTGTCCCCGAATGAATCAGGACGGGCAGTTGGGGGAGATAATTCCAGCTTGCTTTTCTTCAGCCTGTCAGTTGGAAGCATATTGTGAACAGCYGGTTGCTGCCCTCCAGTCCAGTGTGTCATGACGGGGTGCTGCTGCTCTCAACGCTGCAGAAGTCTAGTTCCCTTTGCACCAGAGCATCCCTTTCCCTGGACAGCATCCGTATCCACCTGCATGCTAGCCCCAACAAAGGCTGGTTTCCAAGGGGCTGCAGGTGCCACCTCAAACTGCTGGCTAAAACGTCCCATTGTCCATAGGAAGCTCGTGCTGTGGTTGACTTCCCTCCTAGCACTTGCTATGGAAGGGTTGAAGGGTCCACGGCTGGTGAGCTCATGGATTGCCAGATCGGTGTCCGTGGCAGTCAACCAGAAGAGGGGTTAGGTAGCTGCCATAGAGCAGAGCCCATGGTGTGGGGAGCCCCAGCTGGTCATCGGCCTCCTGAGGTCTCTGTTCTGTGAATAAAAGGCAGATTTGAAGTTTACTGTGAGCGCTTGGCTCTCGTGGGTGGTTGTGGATGTGCCACTGACTTGGAGCTTGCATTCCTGCTCAGCGTGCCCCTGTGTTTTTCAAAGGCAGTGGAAATTTTGTTTTGGAAACACTGCCGAGAGCGCAAACAGGAAGCAGCAAGGACTTCTTCAGAAATGCAAGAATCTGAAGGGAGAGCAGTTTCCATGTTTTTGGATCCGACCCACGAGTGAGTTTTGCAACAACAGCAAGATACGAGCGGTGAGGTCAAGAGAAAAGCAAACATGTAGCAGCCACAGAGAGTGACTTTCAAAATCGCCCCTTGGAGCTCTGAGTCATTTAATGTGCTACACACAGCCAGGATGCCTAGAAAAATAAAGAAAGATGCTGAACAGTCCCTGCAGTGCAGCTGTGTTATTGACAGATGGGATTAAGTGGTAGGAGTGCTCAAAGTGGGATTTTTTTTTTTCTAAGTGTATCGCCTTTGTTTATTGTAATTTTGATTTTAGTTATTTCTGTTAAGGCATTTGAGGGCCTCTAAGCCCAGAGCCTACAAGTGGATGTTTGTTATTGTGCCTGTTATTGCTGTTACTTGATTTGGGTGTGTTTCGGTGATTCAGCAATACGTTTGCGAGATGGCAGTACAAAGTTTTGCAGATCACAAGGGTAGGAAGCAGCAAAACAGGATGGTTTTGGCCCCTCTGCAAGGCAACAGGATAGTAGAAGGAAGAGATTCTCATCAAGGCTCCCTAAATAAAAGCTGTGACAATTAGGTACAAGCTCACGGGACCCATAGTCTGCAGATGGTTTCTCAAGCAAAGTGTTCTCAAATGAAGGTGGTTGTAGTGGTGCTGTGGAAGGGCTCAGAGGGGTTTCTACCCTCTTCCCCTATGCTCCCAACCCACTTTTTCATTTACCTTCTGCTACCCTGCTGTAGGTGGGTGCTCTGAGAAGAACCACAGCTTTCCTCCTTCTCCAGAAGCTCTGGATGTGGTGGAGAGGCCAAAGGAGGTCTCTCTCTACAGTAGGTGCACAGGGACCACGATGCCTGCCTGTGTTGCCAGGGCATTAGGGGCATGTTCCTGAACTTCCAGTTTCTCAATGAAAATCTGAAAACAGAGCTCTCCACTGAAAAATCTAACATGGTATATGTGTGCTTGCTCATGTGTTCTTTTATCCCTGCATTTACTTCCAGGCTGGACTGATACTAAGCAATGTGAGCGGAGGACTTTTGCAAACCAAAACAATGTCTTTCCACACACGTAGAGTTAACAAAACCTTGAGGGAAAGGTGATTAGAAGCTAAACAAGAAACTTCCCCTTCTCTTCCAAACTTGTTTATCTTTTTGCTCCGTAACTGTGCCAAAACATTACCTTGACCGGGTTTTCATAGCCGATCGATAAGAATTTTATCTCGCACAGTTCAGTGAGATTGCTTAACTTTCGGAGGTGCAGCGGAGCCCCTGGCCTACCCATTGGCTCCGGGAGCTCTGGCCATCGCCAGCCACCCGTCAGTCCTCGCCAGCCACCAGTGTTTGCCTTTCAGGGATGCCGGAAGAACGGCACGGAGATTAGCGAGGCACTCCTTGGGCTGGCAGAGTCGGGCAAATCCTTCCCCTTTCTGCCCGTCCTTTGTGAGTGGCGAACTGCAGTATGAACTTATCAAGGCCTGATAAACAAGAGAGGACTTCCGCACTCTGGAAATATGAAATAACAGGATTAGACAGGCCGGTGCATTCCAGGGCTGTGTTTATTTTTTATGGTGGAGATAGGTCTGTGTACCTTAAGGGATTTCTCCTCCCCTTCTCCAGTAGAAGTGGATGCGCTGTCATTTACTGCAGGCCTAGGTGCTGTCCTGCAGCCCCTGCTCTTGGTCCCCTCTTTGGCTGGAGGTTCTCKTCTCAGACCTGTGGCGCTCGTGGGTCTTGTTGCTGCAGCAGTGGGGGTGTCTCTTGAACATTTCTCAGTGCATTTCCAACTGGGAAGACCGTTCTTGGCTTCTGCCCACTCTGCTAGGCCCAAACAAAATGTTTCTCAGTGGTAAGCTGTCACTCGAGTTCAGAGAAGCAGAGAAAGCAGATCTGGTTTCATATCTAATTTGCTGTAAAATGAGAGGTGGGGAAGAGAGGAGCCCCTTTTAATTAGAAAAAGGATTGCTGAGATACTTTAGCCAACAGAGGGTTTCTCTCCAGTGCAAGAGCTTTCATGCGTATAACCCAGCCCTTGCTTTTCCAAAGAACGGAACATTGTAAATATTGCTGTCTTTAGGCCTGTTTCTCTTCCGAGGGCTTTGGATTTCTGCCATTCTCCTGATTGCCTGATGAGTGAGCACTGAAGGGCAAGTGTACCGGAGGGCCCAACCGTCTCCTTCCATCAGGTGCCACTTAGTGGGAGGGTGTAAGAAGAAGGCAGAAGGACTGTTGGCTCCCACCAGCATCATCTCCTGCAGGACCTCTTCCCACGTCGCAAAAGCAGCCCAGATCTTSTTGGAACCATGTCTACCTCTTAGAGGAATCACGAAGCAAAGCCTGTAGTTGTGTCTGACCATGGAGAGACAAATGCAGAAAAGACCAAACAGAGTCCATCATAGTAGAGCACATTTATTAGCGTYAATGCAGACTTTTTAAAACTACACACCCTTGTGTGACTCTCCCATCAGGAGAATGAACAGCCAGCTTAGGCATCTGAAGCACATCCCCATCCAGTCTATGAGTGAAGATGAGGTGGGCCGACCTTCATTGGCGCTGTTGGTCAGGCAACCTAGGGCACCTTGGTCTTGCAGTAGGATTCTAGTGAATCTTCAGCTATGCCCGAACTTGAGGGTTAATCCATGGAAAGTCAGCCTATTGAAAAGTAGATGTGAAAGATATTGTCTCTATTAAGTCGGTCTACATTTTTTCCTCCGCAAATCTGGGTCCCAATTAACGGAAATATTTGTTTGGGTGACTTGCAGATTATGTCTCTGGCCAGTTAGCTCCATCTCAGTGTTCTATTTCTTGCCTTTGAATCAATAAACAGCTCAAAATTTCCTGGAGTCAGAAAATGAATGTCCGTGCCAAGAGCTGTGGCTGTATTAAAACCATACCTACAACAATAGCCTCAACAAGGGAGCTCTGCTAATCACTCCCTTGTTTGGCTGGGTGTCTGACAGAGCAGCTAGAAAGCTGAAAGTATATAACACCCCCAATAGAGGAAACCACAGCTTACAGAACCCATGAAAAACATTTACTAACCTCCAGGTACTCTTTGTTCTCTCTCCCTCCTGACAAGCACTTTTCTTCAGCACTACATACTTTAGATGCCTTTGCAATAAGATTTGATTGTGGAGCTTATAAGGTGGATCAAGATGGGTGAGTCATTATCTGCCATTTATCTTTCATTTAATGGAAGGCAAAAAAAAATTCAGAGGAAAACAGGACATGGCGTTCCTTTCTATAATTTGGCCAGATTGTCCCAGATTGCTCTCAAAACTACACAAACCAGACCAGAAGCCGTGTGTGTGTGTSTGTGTGTGTGTTCAGGCAGCACTTTATGTGCGTTGGAGGTGGGAGGAAGGAAGCAAAACCTCCCCACATCGAATGTTTTGTGCCGGAGCGCGATGGGGAAGCACATCTGTCCCTGCAAAGGGACCTACGTAAGTGGAGCATCTCCTATCTCAGCTGAAACAGGCTTCTAAATTGAGGAACCGGGGATGAGAAATGAGGTCGCCCAGCTCAGCGCCGACAAATGCAGGCTGCTCTGCAGACCCACCCATCAAGCTGGCCAGACATGAAGCCTTCCTGGAAGCTTAATGGCCCTTTCCATAAACCTGGAAGCTTTATGGCCCTTTTACCATGGCTCCTCTCCATGGGACTGAGTGGCTCGGGCAAGGTGCCCTGTTCATGCAGCTACAAGGCTGCAGCTGGCCAGCCAGGAGGCCTGTCCCTTCCCTTCAATGTTGCTAGAGCAATTATGGCCCTGATTGATAAAGGCTGAGGTTTATTCACACCACTGAGTGGTAGGCACCTAATTTAGGCAGCCAAGTCAGCAGGTTGGTCACTGCAGCTTATCAGGCTGTGGGGAGGAGATACTTGCATGAGGCTTGCTTGAAACAAGGTAGGCTTGGAGGCTTCATTTTCTTCCTGTATTTGCACACGATCTTCTCTGTGAATTTTAAGCTACTAGAGCGTGTTGTTTTGGCAGATGGTCTAAGTGAAAGCCTGAAGTTGTGGGTGATGGGGCAGCTCTTAGGATTGGTGCTATGGGCATTTTTGTTTGGGGTTTGGTGCCTGCCACAGGYCAGGGCTGGTGGGGAGTCACCATGGTGGCAGTGGAAGCATTGCAGGTGAGGTTTAAGGTGTGTTAGCAGAGTTGTACAGAGCTTAGTGTGCACAAGGAGAGCTCGTGCAAGTCAGAAATAGGTGCACGAGCAAGATCTATTTGAGAGTTGTCAGGTGAAAGAACATGATGAGTCTTCTTGAAAGACTGGGCAAAGAGGCGATCTAGGTGACCTCGGGAGCATGGTAGCAGGCAGCATTAAGAGTTTGGCATCAGAGGAGCTAAGRTATGTACAATAAGTCTACCATATTCTTGACCTGAGCTTGTCCTGCTTTATCACGATGGAGAAAGCAATACCCCTTTGGGGAAGGGGAAAAAAGTAGAACATAAAGGAACGTGGCAGTAGCTGGTGTTGCTTGGCGTTTCCTCCATAACCACGTGCTAGCAGCTTCTCGGGCCCCTTCCAGGACGCTCACGCATGCAGCAAGGTCGGCGTGTGTATTTTCTGCTTACTGCTGCCTCCAGCACCTCTCCCCCGCTCCATGGCCCGAGCTGAACTCCATGCACGGCCAGTTCCGTGCTCGGCTGCTGCCAGGCATGTCCAGAATCCATTGCCMTTAGACTGCGTTGCAGCCGCCCGCCAAGAGGAGAAACCCAAGATGGAGAGGAGGAAGGTGATGGATGCGCTGGGCTCGGCGTGTCAGCGCCCCGCTGGCGTGGCCCCGGTGATCGTGGTGGTCAGGGTAGCCGCGCGTCCCCTTGCAGCCCTGCCAGCTGCCTTTCTYGAGGTATAAATCACTGCCGTGTGCCCCGCAGAAGTCTGTCAGCCACAGGTGATTTTGCAATTCTCAAAATTATACACTTTAAATTATGTTTTTTCTTGGGATTTTTTGCGCTGGAATTTGAACCTGGCCTCAGTTCTGTGAGCGAGGCTGGGTTTTCTTTCTTCCCCCGTGACAGCTCCCATCCTGAGGTCACGATCACATCGAAGCGTCCAAGCCAAGCAGAGCGTGGGCTGGTCAGTGCAGGGGCGAGCAGCCCCAGGGAGGGACCAACTGTCCCTTGGGACAGCCCCACACTGATGTCCCATTTTGGTTGATGGTAATGATGGACTGGGAGCCTTCCCGGGTGGCACTTGGCTCGTGCTGGGATCCCACCATCCCTGGGTAATCCTGTCTTACCTGGGCAAGCTCAGGGTGCCGGTGTGAGTCCCACGGCTCTGAGCAGAGCCTCTGGCGCTGGATGAGGCCGAGCTCAGAGGGACMGGGAGTCAGGATGCTCCTTTTTGGTTTGGAAGTGACAGATCCAAGCAAGGAAAAGGAGGTGGCCAGTCAGGATTGCCTCTGAAATTAGGTCCACCCTGCACGCAGATGTGCACCCCAACCTCCTCCCAACACCGGCGTTTTTTGGCTTTATTTTTTTTTTTGTGCCAATCCTGCAAACCAGGAGAGGCCCCTGGTCCCGCGCACGTCAGAGCGCGGTTTGTCCTCCCCGCCGCGGCCGAGCCAGGAGAGAACACACGGCGGTTGTGTGCGGGGGTGACACTCCAAGAAAAATCGCTGCGAGCCGTGAGCCCGAGCACTTCCCGGCGCGGGCAGCTTCCCAGCTTTCCGGAGCCGGCTGCAGAGTGCCGAGGAAACGTCCGCCGCCTGCCCCCTTCCCGGCGCGCGCCCTGCGCCTCCGAGCCCTTTCACTGTGTTTACAAAATACGAAAGTTCTGGTCGGCTAATTATGAAAATATTGGTGAGTCTGCAGGGCCGGCTCCCGGATGGAGCCGGAGCAGCGAGCGGGCTGGAAAGSCCTTGGAAAGGAGCCGCTTGCTCCGCACGCGCCTCGCCAAGGGCCCTTCCAGGGCTGGGCTCTGCAGAGCGACGGCTCCGGCGGGATTCGCTCTGCGGATCTGTCCCATTCTGCACAGGGACGGACAGACAGACAGGAGGGCAACCTCTGCCTTCCCTTAGCCCGTGGAGGTCTCCATGCATGGACCAGCGGTGCAGCAGCCGGATGCTGATCCGGAGCTGGGAGAGCAGCTCCTGCTGCATCCGGATCCCCAGACCTCGGCAGGGCCCTTCCTGCTGGRACACGAGGACCAGGGGGATCCAATCCTCTTTTGTGCCGTTCCTGTTGGTTTTGTGTGAACCGCGGCTGGGGCAGCTGGAAAACTGCCCTCTTGCTCAGTGCTGAATTGCCCTGTGCCCAAAGAATTAGACCAGGGCAAATAAAAGAAAATTCAGAGAAAGGGCAATTCTTGCATTTTTCCTCATTCTTTATCTCTCTTGAAGAAAATAGTTCTGGTTTAGTTTTTCTCGCTACCAGTAAGGAAAAAGAATCTGTGAAAATTCACGATGCCATTTYTAAATTGCACGTGCGGGTAAATAAAGGAGGGTCGTGTATGGAAAGTGCAGTGTGACCAAGCTGGYCAATTTTTGCTGTGTTTGAATTATATGCTATGACACAATAGATTTAAATAGAATGTGTACTGCCAGGTATCTTAGCTAGCATGAAAAYTGATCCATTTTGTAGTATGTAACATGTGGTTTAGACACTCTTAAATGTGCTAGAAATCCACACCCCATGTTCCGTACTAAAGCAGGRGAAAATATTGACAGTGTGTCTACAAGACATGCTACATTTTGCTTGTTTTTTATGGTGTTCTAGTTGATTTGAACATRCATTTTGCTAAGATTAGCTTTACACTAAGTAAATATCTTCTTCCTTAATAAAGGCAGGAGTTGTGCCCAATACAGTCCTGCTGACGGCCGCTCAGTGCAGTGTGGTGAAACTCAGTGCAGTTATTTCAAAAGCAGTGACAGCTCTAATAAGAGGGGTTTTTCAAGTCACTTACTGCAGTTAATTAAGATTTTTACCTTCTTGCACTGCAGCTTTTTTTTTTAATAAAAAGTGAATTTTGACTTTTTAAGAAATGTGCCGCTGAAATCCTCGGTTACCTCTCTCTGYTCACATGGAGAAATGTATTTAGTTGATCGTGTCCATGAACAATTTCAACCTGAGTTACACAGAAATGCAGCGACGATGGCAGCACAAGCAACCTATGAGCACTTTGGGTAAAGATTCACAGATAACGCTATAACTAAAAAATACTAAGCCCCTGACAACCTTTACCCAAGATACAGCCCAAAACACAGTTCTGGGTTGCTCCTGTTCTTGTCGGCAGCTCTGCAAAGCTCTTTTCATCAGGATTTTATAGACTGCAGTGGTGGCTTCCAGCAGCAGTTCCTCACCCCTGCCTCGTGAGGCTCCCTGGGTTGCACGTCGACCCTTTGCAGGCAGAATTGCCTGTTAGCGGTTGCTTTGTTTCTAACATGTTTTTGCCGTGTTTTTGTTAAAGCGCGTTGTGGGTTATGTTTTGCAAATTGTAACACTTSAGTGCGTAATGTTCGTGCTGTGGCTGTGCAGTTATCGCTTGGGCAGTCTGCGCGGGATGAAGGGGAGCTCTGCCTGCAAAGTCAGCTTAGCAGCGTATAAATTGAGCCGGCGCTCTAATCGGTGGCCAGACACMTCCACGCTCCCTAAATCAGTTTTCCGTAGAGAGCACCTCCAAAAATTGCTCTTTGCAGTGTCAAAAATACCAGTTTGGCCTTATTATTCCAGAGCAAAATTGATCCATCTGACTGGAGGATTGCCCAGATTTCTATTTATTTATTTATTCGAAGCAACCATTTTGAAATTACCATTATCAATACATTAATGCACGTTGAAGGCTTGCTGGGTCTGACATGGGARGTGATGTAATAAGGGGACCCTTAATACTGGCAGCCCTCAAACAGGAAACACTTTCCTTGTGGAACAGTATACTTGAAATCTGTAGATTACACTTTAATATTAACCATATTTCTACATTAAACATGATTTCCGAGAACAATTTGATTTTTCTTTTTTTTTTCTCCCCTTTTTTTTTCCCCCCCCCTTCTTTCCTGCCTCCTCCTTTTCTAGATGATCAAAACGGTATCTAAATGCAAGCGGCTGCGGGAACAAGCCCTTGGCCACCAGCAATTTTGATGCTGGCAATTGCAGGGTCTCGCTCGTGGCTCCTGCAGCTCTTCCCTGTCTGTCTTTATCTGTCTGGTTGGGCCCACGTGGCATTGAGGACATCTGGGGCATCCCTTGGGTTTATGGGTCTTGCCAGCTGGCAGGTAGCTGGTATCTAGTGCTAGAGTTGATGTTAAGCAAACAAGCATGAAACTTAGTTGTGGGGGGGTTTTTTTAGGCTTAGGCYTGGCCTATACCTTGCTCCAGCCAATGACAAATCAAATAAAAAAGTATTTTAAAATTCTCTTCAAAACCTGCATTCTAATCCCAAACGACACGCGAGTGTTGCTCGCCTCCCCCCCTTCAATTTAGTCTCAAAATCTGAAGATCAAGAGTACGTTTTGGCCCTTGGCCCATCTGTGCACGGATTTGGTGCTGTCTTGCAGACAAGAATCAAATCTGAAAGTCGTGGAAGGAGATGAGAATTTCCCTGACTCCAGAGGGCYAATTGAGAATACTCCCCATCTATGGGACAGACAGTGGGTTCCCAAGAGATCGTGCAAAAGTGTCTGATGACTTTTTCTTTCTCGGAACCTGATGGAATTTCATAATCCCGGTTTGTTCTGTCCTAGTTTTAGGTTTGTGGCTTTGGATAACCACCTATACGTGCCTGTTTTCATTAATTAGCTCTCAGGTAACAAGCTGTTCTGAAACAGTGTGTACCAGCATGGGAACAGCAGGGTTCGAAATCGCTGCCAAAACGTTAGGGTGAATTTCTTTATCCGTATCCTTACCCTGGCGGCAATATATTTGTTAAATGCAGCTAATTGGAGGAGGGTGGTAGAACAAATCTGTAAGTGTTGCAGTCTGGCTCGCGGAGGACGGTGCCCTGTGTGCTTTCCAGATTCAGGAGCGCTCGGGGAGACTCTCTCCGTGKGATATGAGGCTCTCTTTATATGAAGCGTTTCTTGAACAAACACAGACCTCATGAGGAAAGTGCTATTTCTTATTTTTCCTGTCCCCAGAACCTCAAGATAAAATTAAAAATACCAGCACATAAAATGCCACRTTTGATTTTGCCTTGTGCCCAATAAAAACACTGGTATCAGTTCCTCAGTTGGCATAAATTGGCACTATGTCAACAACTTCCTTTGGACGACCTACCAAATGACTTTCTGGCTCCATATATATTTTTAGCCAAGGCTCTGTGTGGCATGTGTCTTTCTGGAACCGTTTATAGTTGCTGCAGTATCATTTACTGGCACTTTGTCTAAGTACGTTTCCAAGAAAGCCGTAAATGTGCCCCATTGGTACAGACCTGTAAATCAGGAAAGGAAGATGGAAGGAAGGTCCAACCGATGGATGAGTTGGGAGGCAGCAGGAAAAGTCAGGTCTCTGGGCAATTCCCTGACTTTGGGTATTGGTTGTGTTTGGCAAAGTGGAGTTGGGCTCCCTACCCGTGTGTTGTGGGATAAGAAATTGCCTCAGTTGGTGCAGAATGTCCATCCAAATAAGAATCTAATAATGCATGGTGTCATCTTCCTCCATGGTGTCTTGTTGAGTGGTCTGGTGCTTACAGCCTTGAGGTTGAGCCCAAGCAGTAGACAGGGAGCTGGTATTCCCACCGTTGTGGTGGAATAACTCTCCCAGTGTCCACGGAGAAGACTGATTAATGTAAAGTTAACATAAAGTTAACATATGGAAAAGAAGCAAATAGTCTATGGCTTTTTCCATTTCCTCGTACTGTAACTTGTCCTTTCTCTGAGGTCGAGATTAGTATCAAAATGCYGTTCAATGAGAGTCGAATGGTTCTGGAGCTACTTTGAACTTGCTTTCTATTCGTATAAATAGTGCGAGGGAAGGAGTAATGGAGAGCCAACCTCATGAACCTTTTTCGAGGTAACTCATTTTGTGGTTACTTACATATGTATTTTAGTACACCTTTGTGAGCATATAGTTTTTCAGGGCATAACATGATCACAAAAGCCCAATCAGGCTTATGGTTATAATTATCAGAAACACATTTATGTAATGCAGTAGAGAAAAGTCTAATCTTACGCTCTTAAATCCACATATGACTGTAAATTCATCAAGAAAACATGCTTAAAAAGATATTCCCTCCCCCTCACATTTAAAGTCCCTCAAGGGAAAAGCAAGTAAATTTGAGGGAAACCTCAGCCCCGACATAATCTCTGAGAGATAGAAAATCGGTGCCTACGAAACCTCTGGAGAGCGAGAGGGACTCGCGGTGGAGGGTTGTGTTCTGCCTGGTTGGTGCACTCGGAGGAATAGCTCCATTTCTCAACAGCAGACTTCATCACCGCGGGCATAAATAGTTTGTTTTCAGCGGATTAGTTGGTTATCGCCATTGGAAAGCGCTGAAATACTGATATCACCAACACCCCTGTCTAGAATGGAGCCACCGAATCTAATTTTTCAGTCTGGAGTGGCTGATTTTTTTGCAAGTGATGCCAGCAGGAATTATAAAGAAAACCTGTATTTATATATATATTTTTTTTAGTTCTCACTAGGTATAACATGCTAGTTTCAGGTCATGACCAAAGATCCAAGAAATTGTCATTGCTCACYGGGGGAAGAATAACTTCCTAATTCAAGCAGCACTCAAGCGTCAACAGCCCAACCCATTCCAACTGGGAATGAGTGAAAGGCGGTGTGATTGCCAGCAGCCCTCTTAGCCTGGCCGCGGAGCTTTTCCAGGGCTTTGGAAGCAAGCAGAGCTTGCAGGGAATTGCCATGGGCCGGATGGGGTGAAGGGAGCAGCGTTGGGACCCAAGCAAGGCCCCACCAGCTTGGTCAGGAAAGGACCAGGTGTCTTCTTGGAGCTCCGCAGTTGGTACCRTTGGCAAAAGGCAAGAAACTGAGTCCTATTTTTCTCTCTCCTCGCAGCTCCATCTCTCTGATGAAGAGCCTGGCCTGCTGGCGGGGACGCTTGGACGTACTATTATAGTCCTAGTGCATTCCCAGTGACTGGAAATGTAAGAGATGCTTTGAGATGCATGGTGTTGTATTGACCCTTCCTTCCAGGTTGCCATTTGACCCCCTACTCCTTCCCATTAGGCTCACACATTCATGTGCCTATTCTATGGGTATTGGGTTTTTTGCTTATTTGATTGTTTTGCCCTTCRGGCTGGTTCTCTCTAGGGTTTAGTATCTGAATCTGCGCTTGATTTTGAGAAATTCCTTTTGGAGAAAATATCCTTGGATGGCGAAGGGTAATTCTGCCCCTCCGTGTTGCGGAATGGGCACGTTGCTGTTAAGGAGCTCCATGTTATTGCCTGGAATTCACACTCCAGAGGAAATGAATTTTAAGAGAGGATTTGGAGGGAGCTGCCCCAAGACCTTAATGTGAGCGGGGCCTTCTCAAGAGGGAGCCCAAGACCCCACAACTGCCTCGAATTGGAGATTTTTACAGTTCTGTAAAACATTTTCCCCTTGTGCCGAGGGTCCCTGCTGTCGCTGACAAAAGCAGATGGGTGACAGATTGCTCCACACGACCTCACCAAAGGCAACTTTTGTTCTTCTGAAGTTTCATGTAGTTTGCAAAAGCATTTCAYTTAAGTACACATGACAAAGCCAAAACTCTTAAAACTCCCCCCTGGCTTCTTTCCTTCTGGCTCTGCACAGCAAATCCCACCTATTGCCTAGTTCAGCAAATGCTCTTTTTCCAAGACAATCTCTAAGGGGACATTCAGAGAAGGAATTCTGTAGCATAGTGAGCTTTAGAGTTGGAATTGCAACTGGTTCTTGCTGCTTTTGTTTGTTTAGGGTATTTTCCTACTTTATCCCAATTGGAATCGTCTGATGCTCTATAATGCCTTTTACTATTTGCCAGCACTTAAAAAGGCAAGAAATAATTTCTTCTGAAAGCAGGATAACCAAAAAATTATTCTTATTGTTTTATTGGCAAATAAAAATATAATTTATTAGCCAGTCCTGAGCAATAACACTTAGAAGTATTGCTCCGGGATAGGCCATTAAGATTTCTTCTTAATACTGATTTTGTCTGRGGGTTATGTTTGGACTTTTTTTTTTCCCCCCAAGTGGACTGGCTTTTCAGAAGCATGTAGGTGTCTAAGCCCAGCTTATTTCACTAGAAATTGGGCAGTTTGGTAGTTTGGAGGCTCTGGGCCTGAGCCCAAGTGCTCAGCAGCCTCGTGGCTCTTGCTGCAGCCCGATCCGTTTGCTGGAGCACGGGAACAGGGCCCTGGATGCAGCTCAGGATGCCGTTTGTAGACGCTTTTTTTGAGAGGAAAGGATGGTTTGGAGTTCTACAGCTATTTTATACAAGCGGAGACGAAACAAACTCTTTCTTTCCAAAAGGGGGAAATTTTTCTTTTCTCCTCTTCGCTTTCTCTCTCTTGGTCGCCCTAGAAGTACAAAAACAGTGAAAATAGTAAAACAAGCAAGGAGAAATGATCTGCTGGGGTGGAGTTCTTCCTTTTTCCATCACAGAAATTTTTTAGAAAAACATCTTGAAAATGTTTGACATCCATTTGTGGAATCTCTATAGTTAGAATTAAGAAAAGGATATGTCAAGTACACCTAGCTCACAAACCACAGAGGAGTTTTTTTCTCCCCCCTCTCAATGGTTTTAACTTGTTCTTCTGATTGGCATCTACAGAGAAATTATAATTAGTCCGAGGTATGCATATGGTGTGTATAATACATGGGTTATGACTTATTTGACTTAATTAGTACTTTATTATTATGTGCAATACCACCCGGTGTTKCACATGAAGCCCATGTTATCCATACCTGCCTTATACTCTTATGTTCCCCCAAATAAAGAGGGCAGGGAGGCTGTGTTTGGGGGGCTGTCAACTTTAAGGCCAATATAATGGCATGGGGTTATTGGTCTTCATCYGTGGCTGCCGAGTTCCTGGGTGGTGGAAATCCATGCACAGTTAGTGCACTCCACAAGCCTCTGGTTGCATCTCTTTTATGGGATCTGTTCCTCTCTCCTCTGGGTAAACTGAGTGGGTCTGTCCCCATGTGATGCTCAAATGCTCTGCACTTAAGCTCAGTTGTGTCATGCCCAAGGTGCTTCTTGCAGTGAGGTCCACGTGTTTTGCAAGAGTTTCTTGGACTGGCAGGCGAAGGTGCAAGTTGCCTTCCCAGCAGAGGGTCCTGGCTGGAGGCCTCAGGTGGGCTGCAAGAAACGCGCCGCTAATGTCATGGACTCGGAGCCGTCGTCCCCCTTAAATACGGGAGATAACTAGGCAGAGAGGAACAGATATCTAAATAAATAGACGAAAAGCCAAACTAGATCCCAGTTCCAATATTGCAGTGTGTAGGAACTTAAGCGGAGTCTCGAATTACCTGCTCCCCAGCTCTCTTCTCTTTGTGTCAGCACAGCAGGCGCCGGCACTAGATTTCCATATTAAAGAGCGTTTCCAGAGCCTCAGCTGTGCCTCAGAAAGGGCAAAGCCTGCTCCAGGGCTGCAGGGAAGGATGGCAGAGCAGCACGGGATGAAGCCATCCCTTCCTCCCTGCTCCGGCCCCGCTCCTTCGGAAGAGCCATCTGGAATTCTCCCACTTCCGTGCTCCGGGATCCCTCCAGGCTTTTCTGAAACCTGCCAAGCTCCTGCCTGGGTACCCGGAGCACAGGTTTGCAACCCCGATGTGTGATAAATTAGACCTTTCACTCGGAGTTTTTCCTGGCAGCGGGACTAGAACAACCCTCCGAGCAGCTACTACTGCTGAATTTTAAAATCTCGCTGGCTCTTTGCTGAGCCAAAACTTGACGTTGCMGTCAACTGGAGTTTGGCAAAGGGCAGTGCTCTGTAACCTTATCTTTTTATAACAATCGTGTTTATTAGTATTATCCAGTGCATTATAAGGCCCTTCTTGAGAGCCAAGGTGCTGTGTCTGTTGCAGCAGGGTGGATAGTTTGGGAAATCGCCGCCGAGTTTTCCAACAGCGGTAAAACCAATGCAGATGGGTGGTCCTGGGCATGGAGAGCTCTGGTACCTCCCGGGAATGGCCATGAGTTGGTGCGGACCCCAAAGGGGAGCCCAAAACATCACCCTTAATAAAGAAGGAGAGAGGAAAATGCTGGTGTTTAACACATGCTTGACTTCCAGGATCATCCTGGGTCAGTGTTTTTCCCATTCAGATCCAGCTCACGGTTTGATGGTGGCTGAGTTTGGCCTGGTACGTTGAATTAAGTCTTAAAACGCAAAYATGCTTTAAACCGAGCACTGCAAGGAGTTTTCCATTGGTCCKACCAGCCGACGTGGAGTTGAGGGCTTTGAGTCCCCACTAAAATGGCTAATAAAATGCTGAAGATCTAAAGCTGCCTGTGATGATTCAAAAATTAATGGCCCTGTGATGAGTATTCCAGGAAGAAAGCAGGGAACAGACTCTGCAGAAATCCTGTTCTTTCCCTTCACATGTGTCCACGTAAAGGACTGTTTCCTAAACCGTTCGATAAGAGTCCTGCAGAGTTAGCAAAACAAGGGATATTTTCCCTAGGATTTTGGCACCTCCAACCTAAACACCTGCCTGTGCTTTTAACCTGCTAATTGGGGGTGATTTTCAGGTCCTCCTCAGGAGAAGGAGYTGTTCCTCTTGCCCCGAGTCCCAGGCTTGATGTTTGGCTATAGGAAACGATCCACTGTGGAGCAGCTCTTGGGATGGGAAGAGGGATTATTTTTGTTGGGATTTGTAGGAGTGGGGCTTGGGGAAGCAAGCTGAGATTGGCTTCCTTGGGTGGCTGCTAAGCAGCCTACAAAGCTCAAAGCTGAAGCAGACGACGTGGTGCTCCTAGCAGAGCACTAGGCTTGGCACCTCCCTGTCCACGTGGAGAAGATTCGTTTTTCAGCCCTGTGTAGGGTTTAGACGTGACGTTTCTTCCCTTTTATGGCCTTTTGCCGCTTCTTTCAGTGAGAACTATATCCACTTCTGCATCAAACCCTTGGTCTTGGTTGAAGTCTTCTCTCCACATCTGTCAGACTGAAAAATGGGGCTCGGAGACACGTGGATGGGAGGCAGCCCCTGCCTTGAACCTGCATCAAGGTATTATCGGTGTCTTCTGAGCAACCCACGCAAGGCAAGCTGATGCTTCAGCTCCTCAAATGAGTGACTTGAGTTTCTTCTTCACGTGAGCTGATACGTCATCACTCYGGTGATATTATTTATGAGGGTTTTTTCCTTATTTTTCAAGCATAGAAAAAAAAAAGTCTTGCCATGTTTTAGGAACAAAATGAGTATTTTACACACATACCAATAGCTCTCTGGAAAGCACTTAAATTTACAAGCTGTTCGTAAATTTACTGACAGTTGGCAACACCGCATGCAACACGCGGGAACCTCCTTGGAAAATAGATCTATTGTAAATAATATATATTTGCAGCTTAATCTGAGCGTGCTTCAGCTCGAAGTAGTTTTAACAAATGTGTTACCTAATATAGTTTTTAAGAAGCTATTTGACCTGGAAAGATGATTTCAGTATCTGAAAAGCTGTATTTAAAAAGATAAACTAATAGCCACCACCATGAATCATCAGCGTTGGCCTAAAGAGCTCTTCCAAGGAGATTATTTCTCATTATCAGTGGTTTGAGCRTTTTAGGTGTCCTCTTCTGTAGTTACGTGTGATGCGGGAGTGTTATCTAGTGACTGTATCTCCATGGGATAGAYGGGGAATCTTGATCTTTTAATGTCAGTGGTGGTTTTTATATTTTTCTCCCTGCAGAATGCAGCTCCTGGCTGTAATTTGTGCCTGCACACTGCTGAGATGTGTGTGTTTAGTAATGCAGCRTGGATTCGGGGTGGCTGCCCATTAAACTTGCATTTTATGAAGATAATCAAAAGCTTTTAAGATTTTCCCTTTTTTATTTTTAATTTTTTTTTWAAACTGATGATGGGTACAATATCTAGTGAATCTCAGATGGCAAGTCCTTTGCTGCTGGGCTCTTTTCCCTGTTTCTGTTCCCACAAAGCTCTTAGCGGAAAAGGCCGCTTTCCAGTTGCCGGC